CCCACGCCCCCCCCCTCCCCCACACCTGTGTCAAAACAGAATCGACATTTCAGCAAAGACACTTCCGCGCGACTGTGCTGGAATTCTTTCACATATGTCCTCACGAAAAGATGCTCTCCTTGCACAAACAACTTACTTTTTTTTCCTTAAGTGACACTTTAAAAATATACCTTTTGATTTGAGCTGGCTGCAAGTGGCCGGCAACCACTTCACGGTGTACCCCACCTAATGTCCGATGACAGCTGGGTTCGATCATCCATCCATTTTCCGCTTGGAAAATGGATGGATGGGTTTGAATTGGGAATTTATGGACAAATATGAGACAGGAGATCAGTATTTGAGTTTTTTGTTTCAAGGACATTTACACCTGGATCGGATATACAACTTTTGTTCGAATCCAATAATTTGTCATGTAAGCAAAAGTATGAGAACATTTGGAAAACCACTCACATTGATTATTCAAATAAATAGCGCCGAATGTCTGCGCTCAGGTTCAGCTAGTAGAAGGAGATGCGGAACCAACATGAAAACCCGAAAGCTAACTAGAAGCGAGAAAAAAAAAAATACAATTGTCCTCATGGAGTTACGCTAAAACTCATCACAGCTCTGATTTGTTTCGATGAAGCTTGCAAGAATCAGAGCCATTCCACAACATAAGCAAGCATTTGGTAACAGAAAAGTAGCCCAAGGAAAACGACAGCAATCAATGACATTTTGAGCGTTGGAAAGAAAGAGCCTCAAAACATTTTTGGTAATTTCTGCAAAAACCTCTAGAGGGCAGCAAGAAGGTCGTGAATACAAACAATAAGACAAGTTGAAAAAATTCCACGACCAACTTGACGTCCAAAGATAAACCTTCACCTATGGGAAGTTATGAGGCTAAAGGTTGGAGAAAGGAAATGCTCAGGTCATCACACATACAGTATAAGTCACAGGTGTCAAAATCAAGGCCCGGGGGCCAGATCTGGCCCGCCACATCATTTTATGTGGCCCTCGAAAGCAAAGCAAGCATGTCAACTTCCATGATGCTTGCTAAAGTCTGAACCAAAATTTCAAATTGTCATGTCCAATTCATAACAACGTTTGAACAAGCCCTTATTCTTGACTTCTGATTTTATAACAAGTTAGCCATCAATTTGCTGTTCGCTCACTCACTCACTACCGACTCCTGCAGGATTCCTTGGTAACGTACCATCACATATTCCAATACGCGCACACACACACACACAGAATGCAACCAGTTGACGGCCCCCTCCATCACATGAGACACTGATATCCACCCAGCATGTACTTTGCCACCACCTAGAAGGGAGAGGACGTCTTCTGCGTGGTGGGTGGGGGGGGATCGGGGGACGCCGACTTTGTCCGGGACTCGTTTCAGCTCGGTTTTACGCATGAAGGAGCGAGGAGCCGTGGCGCGACGTCAATCTCCACGCCGCGCGCTGCAATGTGGAGCAGCACGCGTGATGGCAAGGCAAACAGGACGCACACAAACGGCTGCGCGGCGGCCGGACTGCTCCGTTGATGCGTTTGCTCGGGACGTGCGTGCGTAAAAAGGACTCCTCCGCTTCCCGGGGATTCCCTGATTGGTTGATTTGGTGGCTTGAGCATCCAGGAAGGCAGAAACTCATCCTCCAAAACATGGTGAGTGTTCATTGTTTTCCTTTTATTCTTCCTTCGGAGACATCTGTGCGTTTCGGTTGCCATTAAGCACAGTCCAAAATAAATAAAGAACTAAAAAGAAAAAAAAAAACATTGGGCACACCTGCACAGTCAAATAAAGGTGAGTTATTTCATTTCATAAAGTGTGGTGCTTAATTTATGAGGTATATTAGCTAGAGATCTCTGTATTATACGACACTTTTTTTTTCAAATGAGTAAAACTATAAATATTTGAAATAAAGTGTTACTGTGGTGCTTAATTTATGAGGTATATTAGATAGAGATCTCTGTATTAGACACTTTTTTTTTTCAAATGAGTAAAACTATAAATATTTGATGGTAAATAATGCCATAAAGACGAAATGAAAAGTGAGCATCATCTTTGTTTTTTTGCAGTGGTGTTGAAGTGCACCGCATTACGCACTGAGGTGTTCCTAATAGTATGGCATTGTCATGAAAGGAGCTGCACAGTATAAAAACTGAGCAACACTTTCAAAAGAACCCATCCATGTTTGCCATTAATAAGAATGCAATAAAAATAGTCATTATAAAAATAGAAACTTCACATGATGATCTCATTTATTCTCAACATATCCATAAATTCACATATTTGTTCTTTTGGAGCATCATGGACTGTGCTTGTGTACCTCATGAAACGTCTTTTCCCGGAGAAGACCTTTGAAAAAAGCGATGGAAACCCCCATCGACTTTTGCCTGATTGTTATGGATGCGGGAGCATTATTGTGTCATCAATACTGAGACAATTGTTCACCCCACATCCTACACTGTGCATTTCAATTATGCAGAAAGGATATCGAGAGCAGCTCATAAGCACGAAGAGTGAGGGGCGCATTTGCAGATTCAGTTTGTTCACTCCCCATCCGATGAGGATTTCTACAGATTGGTTTATACGACGTCTTATCATCATCATCTGTCATCTGGCCCTCTCCCGATGATCGGTCCTCATATTGGGAATATTTGAGTGATGTCGGAAGTCCAAAGTTGAAGAACTAAAGTTACTTAGCGGTGTGCAAGTGACTTGTCAAAAACCAAAGAGAAGCGGCATGATGAAAAGTACGCTGAGTGCACCTCGCCGACGCTCTCTGCTCTCGCTCGTGGCTCAGATGTGAACACGGCAGCATCAGAGCCATTAGAACGGCTGGAAAATCCTCGCCGGGTCGCGTCATGCACCGCTGATCAATAGTTAATGACACAGAGTCGTGGAAATGAAATGGAATAGGAAATAGTTGAATAAACGAGGGGCTGTTCTCGAGACTCATTTGTAGCTTGCGACGGTAATTTCACAAATCACGGCTTAATCGTTAATAGTGGAGGAAATGAATGCTGATGTCGAATGGTGGAAAAAACAAAGCCAAAGATTTCGATCTCCAGAAGGGAAGTGGATGCTATAGAACTTTAGCTGGTGGCGGCAAGGTCGCGTGGTGTCTCGGCCTGCAAATCACTGAGATCGCTGTCAAGAGTCAAGGGTGCCTGGAAACGCCGTGAAAAACGACGCTCCGCTACATCACATTAAATCAGTGACACGATAAGCTTTCAAAATGAAACCGTTCAAGACTTCTGGTGAGGTACATCAACAGGAGAGGGAAAAACAATAAGATAAATCAAAACTATTTGTAAAAGGGGACTCATTTAAAAAAATACGTTACTTGCTTGTTTCAGAACAAAGTGGTACCTTGATTTATGTGCACTCCGCCCCTGGTCGTCATGGTAACGAAACCTGTGCAGAGCAGCTACGTGAGAGCGAACATGATGACGTGATGACAAGCAATGCTGCCAGTTACCTTGGAAAAAGTCATTTATCCTTAAAAGTAATTTCATAAGGTTACTGTTTACTTCATTTTAAAAGTCACAAAGTCAGATTACAGCTTATTTTATTCGTTACATTCAATAGATGCCGACGTTTCTAGACCTAAAATTGACAAGCAGTGTTGCCAGTACTTAGCAGGTTGGGTTTTTGAAGCGTCAGCTGACACAACCTCACTGCATTCGCAGCTTGAAAACATGAATCCCTCTGCTTCCTGTTGTCATTTTTCATGCGGTCAAAACATGACATGGCACATACGTAACATCGCTCACTTTAAGTTGTAGCTGAACAGTGATGCCGGTAATGCATTAGAAACTGAAGCTTTTTTTTTTTTTTACAGTACTAGAAAGCAGGCTAATCGAACGCACTATTTTCTCAGTGGAGTAATCTGAATACATCTGATTGAACAAGTCACATTTCGTTACTGAAGCGCAATTAACAAAGCTATCAGTAAATTATGCTGGTCCGTCATTTGTTATTCCCCAGAGGCCAGGCCACCTGTTCGTCATCGTCAGTCCATCATGAGTTCAAGCTGACCCAGTCCGATGTCGTCAGTCCGTCACTCTGTCATCATTGTGAGCTTTATTTTAAATTATCTTACACTTGACAAACACTCCACATATTAAATTAAATAAGAAATAAATAAATAAATCGAATGCTAAAACAAAAAAAAATTAATAAAATAAAGCATTTTTGAGGAAAAAAAATTGCTCCAAAAACTAATTAAAACAAGCTGAATTTAAAAAATAAAAGTCACCATGAAATAAATACGAACAAAAATGAAAAATCCCAAACTCTCAAAATTCTGTTGTGTGGCGAAACCCTAATAGTGACTTCAGAGTGCAGTCCAGCAGTAAAATGTTGCTCTTTGTTGTATAATTTTTCATCCTTTGGCTACTTTGACAAAAGCCTGTCACAGAAATGTGATAAATAATCCAGAGAGAGTGTGTTTAAAACCATCACTGACCTCCACCGTTTCCAAAAGAGCAATTTAAATGCTAATATCACTCCAAACATTTCCGCGCTACATATTCATAGCAACTGTAACTAAGGAAGAATGACATTTTATGTTTCTTGGCATCGTTATCAACACACTTGGGGGACACATCGTCCCTCACTGTTTTCTTTTTTTTTTTTTCTTTCCATTTTTAATGTTGTTTACTTGAGGTCTGACAGCCGCAGTACGGCGATGAAGCAAATGTGAGATAATTTTAGCGTCACTTTGTGTCTTGAACGTGCCTCAAAAGCAGCAAAACATGACTACAAACGCGCCGAAACGCTTTGAGGTGCCTTTCAACTGTGCCGGCGTCGCATCGCTGGCCCCGAAGGCCTTCCTAAGTGTTTACAGTTGTCCGCACATGAGTTGACGGAGCAGATGGCGCTGCAAAAAAAAAAAAAAAATTAAAAAAATCTGCATTCGGGCTATGAAACCCACCTTGGCGGAGCATCGATGAGATGTGGTGAAGATGTGGCCATGTGATCAATCAAGCAGATGAAGATAGCCATTGATAAGTCAAAGTTGTTTGTAGCCAAACAATGGACGGTTGTGAAAGCAAGCTGTTGTCATATGTCACCGCAGTAATCATGACACCAGGGGGCGAGTCGGTGAAACAATGGATGTTCCTGAAAATGTTGCCCGGACAGTTGAAAAAAGGTTTTGGAATGTTTGAACCAGGCAGAGATGATAACTGTTTCCATTATTTCCTATTGGAAGAATAGTTTCAAAACACCGGTTGAATGGGAAAACGTTCCGCTCTACTATGGAATGAAATGTTATCGATTGCACACACTGCCCGCTGAACTGTGATGATTTCCGAAAACTATGCTTTGCTTGGCTGGAAAGGTGAAGTTTTGTTGCGTGGAACCTGTCTGAGTAATCTTCCATATTTATATATCCGTTCAAAATCAAGAGTAAGCTTACAAATTCGTCGGAATCTTCCTCTGACGCAACTTTTGAAGAAGACCCAGATGTACATTACCGTATTTTCCGCACTAAAAGGCGCACCTCAAAGCCTTCCATTTTCTTAAAAGCTCACAGCGCGCCTTAAAATCCGATGCGCCTTGTGGATGGCCATTACGGTAATATGTCAACCCCAAAATGGCTCCTTGCTCAAGACTTTTACAACGCAGAGTTCAAATTTAAGGCGATCGGTTTCGCAGTTGAACACGGAAATAGAGCAGCGGCAAGAGAGTTCAACGTTAACGAGTCAAAAGTTATAACTTGCTGTTGGTTAAGTGAACTGTGTCGCTGCTTTGTTCAATAAGTTTTACCGACATCTGATCGTCGCGATATAAATCAGGGTGTAGTGTAGTGTATCGTTCTGTCGGCATTTCCTTGAGCGTAGCTCCATCTAGTGGATGCATTGTAGATTGCATCTTATAACGCAGTGCGTCCAATATATGAAAAAAATTACAAAATAGGATATTCATTGAAGGTGCGCCTCATAATCCAATGCGCCTTTTAGTGTGTTTTTAACCTTTTATATGCAAGGAGCACACAAACATCAGGGGCTTTAATAGAAAGTAACAATTTGGATGCGGTCGGGTGCTCACGAGTAGCCTAATCTTTGGTTTATTCATTGACAAAACAATTCAAGTCAGCCATGAAATGAAATTGGATGAAATGGGATTAAATCGCAGCGTTGTGTTTGACAGAGCTACTCAATCGCTTTCAAATGGAAAACCGCGAAACTTCTCAAACCTCCCTCAACATTTCTCTCCTGCGTTCCCATAATGAGAAACACCCGGTGCGATGAGTCATCCGTTTGATTTGATGCTTCAATGCAGTCTTCTGATCCTCTCGGAGTTTCCCCCCTTTTCAGCGTGACGTGATCCCAGTAGTTACAGTCAGGATCATATCCGTCATACACACTGTCGCGAAAAAAAAATATAAAAATCTCCCTCTGTCAAAATAATATGAGTACCTGCCATTTGAATCAATATAAAATGAACAAAACATTTGCTGGACCGCAGGTGTTATTTGCTACTGAGGCAAATCCTTGCAACCGCATTTAATGACTAGTATACACACACACATACACACACACACACACAGACTGAGTAACCTATCCTAAGTGCTTCTTTAATGATTGGCAATTAAAAAATACTATTCTTTTGATTCACTATAGCTACAGTGACTTCATTTGGCATTTTATTA